CCGACAACGTAAGCTTTTCCTCGCTCTCCCCCGGCACTAGCGACTAAACGAGAACCCAAGCATCGGAGATGCTTTTGGGAAAAACAGTGTATATATAAATTATGACGTATTATGTATCAAAAACAAAACACATATATTGTATAAACTGCAGTAAAGTAAATTGCCAGCCAAAGCTGGTTTGAAAGATTACGCTCCTTGGCCCTAAGGGTAACTCCTTTTAAGCTTCACCACCGGGTCTTAAGTCTTATTGGCACACAGTCACATGCAGCCCTTGATCCCTGAATTTACCACCAAGTCACGAGGACACCACCACCGCGGCTTTCGGCGCCGGTAGGGCTGGCAGCGCTTGGCGCCAGGCATCAACGAGGCGGACGGCGAAGCGGGACACCTGCCGCTTGCGGCCAGTGATCACGCTGGACCTAGGTCCGTTGATTCCAAAAAGACAGAGGCTCGAAAAGGATGTGTTTTTGGGGGGTGCATTGCGGTGCCCAATTGTTTTTGTCCCATCTATATACTTCTATTGTCAAGAAAAGGCGCTTCTTCAAAACTCTTGGGACCAAACTTTAACCAATTGTCCATGATTAGATCACCGTTCCGTCCCTTTCTTCAGACAATCCATCCATGACCATCCATTCACAAGGAGCACACACAAAACTCCCAAAAAGGGATTCCATCGACCGCCGCGATGCAGGTCGTGTTCCGAAGGGGGATCCGCTGTCTCGACTTGCGTTCAACTTCACCCCCGTTGTTTTCCTCTTCGTCTCGACGCTTCGAGCCATCACCGTGGTTGAAGTGCTTCCCTTCTGAGTTGGCGAACCTGCCGTGATGTGGCCGAACATGCCTGGAACTTCATCACCATAGAAATACGTGCGACAAACATCGCGATCAAACACACCCGGGACAAACGACCCGGTTACAAACGACCCCTCCCGGTCCTCGGAATCCGTGGACTTGCCCATGGCATTGACCACCTCTCTCAGCTAACATACGGATTCCGAGAGAGCTTGGAGACTAGCAAGGGGCTTCTCAGGCGTTTGCATCTCTCCCATTTAGTTGATTAGTGTCTCTAATGCACATATATATATATATGTATATCTTATGTATTATATATATACATGCATATATATAGTTATATATATATACACATACAAGTGAACAAAAAAACAAGGTGCATCTTTGGGGGGAAGAAGCATGGATGGCCTGCTAGAGGAACCTCACAGCCCCATGTCTACATCTTCCGTGTAATTTCCTCCTCACAAGCAGTCTTCAATTTTTATGTGCCACCAACTCCAAGTTGGAAGGACATCCAAGTCTTGCTGGGGTCTATATGTGCAGGTTCCGTATCTCAGGAATGTCCGCACTCTCATCTTGAGTTGCATCTCTGGCATTTCAAGTCATCTTGCACACGATCCCTGCACCGACAAGTCTGGCAGTCTGCCACTCTTCTCGGATCTGCACGCGAAGCTAAGAACATACATATCACTCTCTACTACCAATCATTACCAATCCTAATCCTATGCGATCTGCATTCCTCCCAAACCCAGTGCATCATAGTGCATCTACCGTCATTCTTTGCGTCCGTCCTACCTTCCCTGCGCCAGTGGCCCGCAACCACTCCACCAGCCGTGGACCGCGCAGCGGTGCCATGGCGACAGAGAGTCGCCTTGGAGCTCACGTGGAGGAGCTCGCGTGGGAGATACTGTTTGGACTGTTTGGAAGTATAGACATCCTGCCATCCTGCACCACCTGGAAACGTAGAGTCAAATCACTCACTTCTCACAGTTTAAATCTGGACTTCTACGTGCAGGAGCAACAAATGCTGTCTGCAAAAAGGGTCTACATGGGGGCGGTTCAATAACATACTGTACATGTAGGTACTCACCTTAAGCAAGGACCCAAGCCTCGATTGAACAAAATCATAACATAAGGCAGGTTCAATGGTCAAATGCCAGTGTCAACCCACAAGGCAATAGAATATCGCCTTGGTTGCATTGATTACCAAATGTAGTTGTCCATGGCCCCTGCCAGTCCACAAAGAGTAAGTTAACTATATTCAGAACCTGCCCTTCTTCAGAAGAGATTTAACATGATTTAACTATTCCCTACTAGTTCATCAAGGACTCCATACAATTGAATAGGGACTTCACGACTGTTCGCTTGGATCCCAACCGGCTGAGTCGGAAACCTCTGAGGTTCCCAGGCCTCAAGAGCTTCAGGACCTCCGACGGGCGGATCTTCGTCTTCAGGCGCCCCACCATCTCCGCCACCTGCGGCGGCCGTCTCCGCACACCGCCGCGTGAGGTGGCGGCCCAGCTCGGAGCTGGGCCGTCACGTAGAAGATGACGAGTTTTAGAGCCCAGCGCCATCAACTCGCGGGTCGAAGCTATTTTAGAGCCCGTGGGTCATTTCTGCATTTGGTTCGACGTTTCAGTGTTTGTGGACACAGGGCGTCTGCAGCTTTTGGCAACCCAAGTTGGATGCCCCTATGCCTCCCCCTCATGTGTGACTTGTGGGCTGGTAGGCTTCAACACAAAACATCCAACATACAACATCATACAATAACAACAAAACAATTTTTGTGACAGGGCTCTTCAGGTTCACGACAATCCTTTGCGTTTGTCCAATCCGCAATGCCAACTGACTGGTGAACAGGGATCTAAAGTTCCGTCCAGGTGAGCAAACTTGCCACGTCTTGGCCTCCTGTTGGGTCACGTGGATGGCCGCACGCTGGGCCTTCCGCACTGCTGTGCACTCTTCAATGCGCAGCTGTCGGTGAGGTGATCCTCAGAGTGAAGATATCTAGGAAACCAAAAGGTCAAGCAGTGTCAGTGAGTCATGGGGTCAGGCGGGGGCTGTGGGAGGGAAGTTGCCTCTGCCATGATAGCCAGGTGAAAAGGATAAGCTGCTAAAAATGTCGTTAAGTCATATAACTTTCAGTCATAAATATCATCAATAACACTGTGCATGGACCTCCAGCTAGGACTCTAGAAAATGGGCCTTGACCAGAACCAAAAAGACTGAATATATAGTATACACACCGGACTTCAGATTAAACAAGGTACCGGCTCGGGGTAGAGCTTGCTTGGTGACATCTTCCTGGGCACCTCTCTCCAAAATGCCTCTTTAGCCTTCAGAAATGCTGTCGTGCCGTGCGCCTCCGTTTTTTTGTGCGACTAAGGATCTGGATCGTCCAAAACCACGTGGCCGCACATCTGCGCTCATGGCGCCAAGCCAGGTGAAGTCGACTTAAGTAACCATCAACATGCCATGTTGTACCTGGACGCTGGCTCATGTGTCCGTGCGATGTCAGAGATGATGTTCTTGTGATGTTCGACTCTCCATGTTTGTGCGAAGGTCAGGTCAATCCGGCTACGTTTGAACGTGCTTGCTTTTTTGGCACCCATGTAGAAATGTATATGTCACTGACAAAATCTCTCAGGTGTTCTTGTACGAGATTGCATAAGTCAGTGTAAGCTCCACGTAATTAGCCCGCAGAGGAAAAGATACTTTCATTATTAAAAAAAGATGTGTTGATGCATGTTGATGTTTTTAGACATACAAGTCCCTAACCAGGACCTAACCACAAGACAGGATTCACATTCAAATTCTTGACGCGGATGATTTAGCAAGAGTTCACACGTTGTCTTGCTTCATTCAAAGAGATGAGTTCCAGTTGCCAAATTGCCGTGTGTTGCTCTTATAGATCTGGTGGCTCTCTGCGCAGAAAGCCTCTGTGCTGTTTTAATCCAGGGCGCTGGCCAAGAAACATACCGGAGCATCAAAGACATGTTGATTACTGTATTGCTGTACTACTCATGTATCTGAGTACTGACCTTATATAAAGGTGGTAATTACAGTCATGTTCTTGTATTGAAGTCATGTAGGCTCTGTCGCAAATACCTGATCCTGTTAAAGCCATTGCCAGGTTGACATTGATCCTATCCGACTCATCTGATCTATCTCTCTTTCCATCCCTGAGGTTGTTCCCCTTGCCAAGGTGTTCCCCTTGAAAACGTCCAGGATGCGAAGTTAGTTGCCTCGCCTGTCTCGGCCTCGGCCAAAGAGCAGTCGTGACGGCGGGGCGCCGGCTCCCCGGGAGTTCGGCGACGGGTCAAGAAAACACATTGCGCGTGATATTTTCTGATTGGGGTCCAGGTACACTACTGGATTCTTCTTCTGGTAGATGGTGGTAAGCAAGGTCATGGTTAGGCTGAGGTCCTGTCCATACCCAAGGATCTAGTAACTAGCCACGTTCATTTGGCGCTCGATCTGGGACCAACATGTCTCACCGAAGCTGGTTCCTTTGAGACTGCAAGTCTCTTCAGTCTAATTGGCTGGAAGACGTATTGCATCGGAGTTGCTTTGCGTGTTTTGTCTACTTCCTCTGCAAGCTATGGCCACAAACAGGTACTCAATCAGGTCTGTCATTTCAAGGGGTCCTTGAGGCTCCTTCAACTTTCCTGCATCCCGAAGAGAAGTTACTGATCATGCCCAAATAGTCAACGACCTTTAACATCCGCCTTCCATACGTCCGAACGACTGGGATCAAGCAAGCACCTTGTATATATATATATATATACAATTACATGCAAAACTAAGGGTGTATATGATCTAAGGTAGGCCCGGTAGGCAACATCCGCATTGATTGAAAGAGACCTTGATTTAATGATGACCGAACAAATTGCAACTTTTACCCCCACTAAAATAACAAACACCCAAAGGTTTGGGGCCGCTGATAAGTGGTGATGCGGTCCCATTTTCCACCATATAGGGTTTCGAAGGCGCTAGCTTCTGGCGGTCGTGGTATATACCTGTCCACACTCCACAAGTTCCAACTGTGTTTCACATGTTTCGCTCTTCTGCATATGTGGGGGCCACTAGATAATTGAATATCATTGAATCAACCTACAGAACAGCTTGCACTCACTCACTTCCCAACGTTTTGCCCAGGAGCGTCATCCTCACAGGCATTGGCATCACAGCGACATGCGGGCTCCCATTCGTGAAACTGGCAGGGTCAGGTGGGTCAGTCAGGAATCGCTTGCACCGAGATACCGAGTGGAGATCACCTCTTTCTTTGACAAACATGCAAACATGACTCCCTTGCATGGGAGTTCCTCAATGCTTCAACAGTGTATTTTTTCTGGGTCCAATGGTCGCATCCCAGCTAATGTAGACTCTTGATTGATGAAACCCACCCAAATGGAATGGATTGTAAAACCATGAAACATCTCTTCATCTCGGGGGGTGATGAATCAAGTCTGCATTACTCCCCGGCTTTACCAGCGAGCTTCGCCAGAGAAGGAGACCTCTCCTCATCGTGGTCTCCACAGATTGCTCCGACCGAAATCGAATGGTTTCAGAGGTTCGATGGCACTGGCACCACCCCCCAAAGAGGTCCGAAAGACAGGTCCTGGGGTCCACTACTAAACCATCATCCTCGGACATTTGTTGCCATTGGTTTCGAACGACCTAAATTGGGTATTTGTCTTTAAAAAGAAGATCGATGATCCATGAGAAAGCGAGAACGATTTGATTTGCCCATCGATTTGCGTTCGTCTGGTGAGTTGAGTTGATACATCTTGATGAGTTGCTGTAGTAAAGTAAAGACATGTAAAGACCTTCTGGTCGGAAAGACCTTCTGCAGCAGTTACAGTGCAATCTGAGTGAAGCCGTGAAGCCAAGTATTCGAGTTGATGCAAGCCTGCAAGCTTCCACCTGAGAGAACCACGCCGCATCCTTGAGAACAACGCAACTGCAACTGCAATTATACCTATCTTGTGGTTTGTAAGACAAGTCTCAAGAAGCTCTATCCCATCCACTTCAGGACCCCTGTGCCTCAGCACAGGCGCCTCACCTGCGAATCGTGCCAGTCAGAGTCACAAAGAGTTGTTGGGAAATTGGTTTTAGGGGTGATAACCTGGACTTTACAAAGTATGTTAGAACATGAGACATGGGCCTCAAGGGACTTGGAGCCCCATGTTTCTCAGGTCTACTTGGAGAGTCCGATATGAGTTCATCTGAGCTCCGCATCGTCACCGACTCAGAAACTAATATTTACATTCCTTGGAATCATCATGGAAGTCGTAAAGGAAAATGTTCCTTCTGACTTCCATGATAGGAGTCCGGTCTGGGGAGAATCGAGCGGATCAGCTCGAGGTCCATTTAGATTCCTTGGTCTGCACTTCCTTCAGACTTCAAATCGTGGTCTTTGGTCACAAAGTTGGAGGACTCACCCGGAAAAAGTGTACCATCCCGCTTCCAGAATGACTCAAACAGTCCAGCATCAGGCCTCTGCAAACTACCAGTTTATTCCGGCTGGGATTCCAATCCATGGTCACCATGGTCTGTGGATTCTCCTGGTGAAGGAAATGGACAGATCCCACAAAATGAGTCTCATAGCTCGTAGAGGCTTCTACATCCTGCTCAGAAGGTTGCCCATGGATTCCTTCATCCCGAATCATTCCGCAACTGTTCAGCCGGTTGACTGCTCTACACTGCCCGGAACTACTTTGTGTTCCATTGGACAATCCTTGGCAACTTGGATGGTTCTGGTTGCTTTCACTGAACAAACTCCCTCTCCGCCCATCGGCTGCCTACTCGCCGCAGCTGCGACTGGGGCGAGTAGATCTGTGGCACACATGGTGCCTCGGGGACTTGGCGATGTGGGGAGTCTCAATTGAACAAAAGTGGCGGACCAAATCTTCAATTAACAAACATGGAGGACCAATCTTTAGTCGCAGGAGTTGGTTCAACATCAAAGCCCCATGTTGGGAACATGAATGAGGTTGTGGTTGGGGGTCCCCCGTTTGGATTTGCACCCATGTTGGTCAGTCTATCCTTCAATAAGGAGCTTCCAAAACACAAACACGGTCACCATGTGCACTAGTAGCAAAATGAACCATGTATGGGTCCCCAAGTCAGTCTATGCATGTCTATGCAAGAAAAGCTCCCCAGCAGTCCGGAGGTCTATTCGCATGCAAATTGTGAAAGCAACCATAAAACACAGGCAAAACAAGCAAACAAACATTTAGTTATATATTACTTCACTTTTTATATTACTTTACTTCGAGTGATCCCCACCATGACATGTCAATCATTTGTATTCATGCGATGGTGATAAGCATGCTGCCATGGTCGTGGCCGGGTTTTGTGGCTTTCAATTTTGCTTGTGGTTGCGTGTGTGTGTGTGTGTGTGTCAACCCCTGTTTCCAAGGGTTCACGCAGGGGGGCAACGGCCAGTCTTCCTACGTTGCCCAACGAAGCTACGGAAGACTGGTGGAAGCATTCAGGGACGCCTGAATGTGTACCTGCTGAACTTTTCCACACGCTGTGACACCACTCTCCTCGTTTTGTTTCATGGTTCTTTCACGATACTTTCCCCAAAACAGGTTTCTCATGCCGCTGAGTCGTGCAGATGCTCGCCACCGCAGACCTGTCAACAGACTGTTCAAACAATACAAGTGCGCTGACCCATTCACCTTGCGTTTCCCTCACCTTCCTTCTCAACGTGGGAATTGAGTTAACAGCAACCCAATGTCAGAGTGTGAACCGCTCAGCCGTCCCACTTGGGTGCTGGGTGTGATCCTCCGCAAGGAGGCGCTGTTTTCATGCCGGAAATCGGTTTCCTGATTTACCGCCGTTTCATCGTGGATCACTGTCACTTCTTCCATGCCAACTGTGAATTAACAGGATTGAAAGCCGCCGGGCTTCTTACGGATACTATAGCCGCCGGGCTAAAAAACGGAATTCAACCCACTGGAGGCAGGTCTCCCAACCCCCCCCCCACCGTGTTCTACTCCCTACCTAATTAGGGTAACACAGGAAAATGGTACTCGACACACTTGTGTGTCGGTGCCTTTCCCTCTGTTGTCCCTTTTCTAGTCTCCTCTACCCGGGCGGTTTAAGACTAAAGTCCCGCTCCCTAACTATTGCACGTAATTCGTTTCTGCTAAGTAGTCAGTAACCCTAGAGTGCTAGGTAGTCATACACACACACGGACACACACACACATGCCACATACATCCCCTGCCTGCCACCCACTTTCTTTCTTACGCTTTTGGTTGTTTCTTGGGCTTTCTCTCAGGCTTTTTAGGTTGTTCTTGAGGCGCGTTTCCCTACCCCAGTCAAGGGCTAAGTATTCATTTTTCATTTTTCTACACCTATCGTTCTCTCTTGCCCTCTTAGCGCTGCTCTTTCTGTGTTTCTTTCTTTTGTTTCTAAGGCTTTTTAGGTATCTATTCAGGCCTTCCACGCGAGCGCCGCCAAGC